CCTTGATTGGAAGCCCAGCACTGAGGAGCTTCGTTCTTTATATGAATGAAGCACCCAGATCCACTGGAGGTCCCATATGGAAAAAGACATCCCTGAATGTTTGAACAGGTTGAACCCAAGTAGACACTGGACTCCATGCCAGTCACCTTGAAGATCCTCATCCTTAAGATCTACTCCAGCTCGAGTGAAACACAGCTGCCTGGCTTTGAAAGCCCAGAGTGGGGCTGTTAATTGCCCACCGGAATGTCCGAGATAGTATTCTACGGGTAAGGGGACTGAGAGATCTCCCTGGGAAACTCTCTCGGAGTTGAACAAAATATTTCAATGCAAATTGGACCCTGAGGCTTTGAGGAAGCCCCAGTCACAGGCAGGACCAGCTGTGGCCAGTGGGAGACTGGAGAATCAGGTTCTCTTTGGTGCCTGCACTATTCTCTGCCAGCCACATTTAACCCATCAGCTGGGGGGTGGAAATCTGGTGCACCAGTCCCCCAGCTGGTGGGGACTTTCAGCCTACTAGGGACACTGGTGCCCGGTGCTTCCCAGAAGAGCTCAGAATACCCTGTGCTGGAACAGTGAGCAATAAAAACCCGTTGTGTTAATGAGTGCAATGACTGCAACAAGCAGTAAGACCCAGATAAGGAAGCTCACTCCCTGCCCTTGGCAGGCTTCAAGCAGGATAGAGGAAGGGAACAGGAGGGGAAGAGCAGCAAGATATCTAGGGCTTTTCAGCTGAGCCAGGTCTGTGCAGGGCAGAAGCAGAAGCAGCAAGGTAATAACTCATAGCCCAAAACATAAGCAGTTAAACCCCCAAGAGAAAAATTTCACCCCCATTTTTCCCTTCCTTAAGCTACAGCTAGCAGATCCTGGCCCCAAACCAGCAGACCTGTGAACCTTAGCAGGGCAAGAGCCTATCTGGGAAGAGAATGACATCACAGATCAAGGTCAGATATGGGGCAGAAAAGAAAAAAAAAAAAAAAAAATATCAGGGTTGGGAGGTAGGGACCTCCCAGCTGCTTATGCCTTTACCCTGCCATAATTGCCAGGTAACAAACACCTCAGAGAAGGAGAGGGAGGCCAACTGGGTTTCCACCCCAAAGTAAGAGCAGGCATGTCACAAGGCATCAACTATACTGCGATTAAGTCCAACTCCTAGGTTAAATCTCACCTGGAAGCTCTTTGCACCCCCATAGGCTAAGGCAGGGACATCCACCCCCCCAAGCCCAACCCCCAGCTTTCCAGTGGCAGGCTCCAACACCCTAGACTCCCAGTCCCTAAAGGAGCCGATTCTCCTTTAGGGAGATTCATGCTTGCCCCCCATGGCTAGATTAGTGTTTGCCCCCCTTTCTCTAATGCATGCTAACATATTTATAGGTCATACTCCCCATCAAAAAAAGATTCCAGCAAAACAAATATAGCAGATTTTTAACTGGTAAGAGAGGTACCATAAAAATCTTGGTGGATGAAGTCCAGGTTTCAACAGAAAAGAAGTCTGGGGATGGCAGCAGCAAGAAGTGTTAAAGGAGATGAGAGGCTGAGACAGCAGAACACACAGTAAAAACAAAGGACTTCAATTATCCACAAACAGACTGGGTCAACCAAACATCAGGCCAGGATACAGTGAGCAAGTTTAACGACCCAATAGAAGGCTGCTTCCTGGAGCAGTTAATCCTGAAAGCTACAAAGAGGAAAAGTCATTCTTGACCTAATCCTAAGCAGTGCACAAGATCTACTGCAAAACAGTAAGTGTTACTGACCTGTTCTGCAATACTGACCACAATGCAATCAAGTTTGACATCCACATAGGATGCGGAAAAGGATTTCAGCCAGATTCACTGAGGGATTGGACACGTTCTTGCTGCTATTGAGCACAGGCATGAGGGTCAAAGTCTCTGAATCAGAACGTCCTAGATCTTAAAATGCTTTGAGAGGAACAGGGGAGAAAAAAAAAACCCTACTCAGACCCAGCTCACTGTTCCTGACAGCATCTGTTCTCCGCCATCAAGCAACTCAGGAGACTGAGCAAGATGGATCTATGGTATGACCCAACGCATTATACAAATCACACACTCCCACCAAATAAACCCCATGCTTGGTTTTTGAAAGGTAGAATGAAGTGGGGGGGAAGAAGAGAAAAAAAAATAAAGGGGGGGGGGGGGGGGGGGGGGGGGGACATCTTTCCTTGAGAACTCCAGCTGGGGCAGAGTAGAGAAGAGAACAAAAGAGAACCACCCACAGCTTTGCTTTTACTTTCCCCTGACTGGTACTGTGTTTTTTCACTTATGTGCACCCCAAATTCTTGAAAGCTGGATTGGGGGGGGGGGGAAGGTGGCAGGCAGCATGCATATGCAAGGTGATATGGTAACTATATATCCCCACTCACTCTGCTGTATATCCCACCGACATCCATGCTGCAAGCCAGTCATTTCCTGTCCTGGCACAAATAAAGGCATCAGCAGACAGGAATGCTAACAAAAGAGTTGTAAGGCTCTTAGCACTTTGGGAAAAGTGAAGTACTTGGGATACATGGTCTCAGCCAGGCCTCAAGCCTGTGGCCTGGACCTCTGGTTAGCACCATAATGCACACATCACTCTAAAAATTCCACTTGTAACAAAGAGCTGCCACTGAAGAGGGGGATTAAATCAGTTAAAACAGCTCCCAATAGGAAGGTATAGACAGAAGCTGGCATCAACAAGCTGGGAAAGCCAAGCCATCCCATTATCTGGAAGTGACCTGAGAAACAGGAAGCACACTGGGATTTCCCCCATCTTCAAAAAAGGAGTATTTTGCCCAAGCAGGTGCCTGACACCCATGAGTTCCAATTACTGGCAGCAGGTACACCTGCTAAATGAGCAAGTCATGATGTTTCGGCTTTGAGGCAGAGGGGGGGCCTGTTCAGTCAGATAAGCCAAGCCAGTGTCCTGGTTGTATGTGGGACTTTGTAACTCAGCCACGTAACGTGCTTGGCACTTTGCTCCTTCGTGCCACTAGCGCAAGCTGATCTTTACCCTCCCTGTGAGGTCCCTTCGCAGGTGGGGAAAAGCATCTTAGCCAGCTCCACACAGCAAAAATCAATCAGGAGTTCTGCTTTCTGCTCCCCACTGTGCTCCAGTCACAATCTGCTGCTGTGCTTTCTATTCCCCTGCCTGTGCTCCCTTCCAAACTCTGCTGCTCATCCCCAGCCGGATCAGCAGCGTGCCACCTGCAGCGGCTGCCTGTGCCACAAACTGGCGACCCTTGTCCTGGCCTCACCCACCCATTCCTCCAAAACCACATTGTTTCTATAGCTAAGACCATCCACAATGTATCACGGGCGCCTCGGTTTAGCCTCACAAGAGGGCCTTCCAGCTCCCCCAGCAGGACCTGCCATTAGAATGGCTCAAGCATGCACCATCCAGACATCAGCTTCCTGTACACCAAAGTCACCAGATGTGAAAGAAAGCTCAAAGGCTACACAGACAAGTCAAAATATATGGTATAAACCAGAGAGAAGGGAGTACAGGGAGCCTTTAAAGAGCCCAAGTGGGGCTACAATTGGCCAAACATGGACATTTTCTTTCAATATTAAACAAAGAACTGCTTGAAGCGGATTTGCTATTTTTCTGCTATGTGAGATGCAGTCACCCACCTTGCCTCCCAAGAAATGGAGGACTCAGGTTATCTGGCAGGCCTCCTTATACACTACAGCTACATCAAGGAATACATTAAAGCCACTAGAATAAAGAAGTGTCAGCCCAAATTTAAGCCTGGACCCAAAAAACTTGTGCCCTCCCACTCCCCCCGCCCCAATGATTTTGTGCGGTGGGGTGAAGCACCTTCAATGTTCTACACCAGAAAATATGGCAGAATCTTCCTATGGGAACCTCCCACTCACCTTTATAACCCCAATACGGGGTATATTTTTACAGAGAGACTTGCCCCCTAACAGCCACCTGAAAATTGGTGGCCATTCATTTCAGGACAGCTAATTGCAGGGTACTGATAAGGGGTAGAAAAGGGCTAGAGCAGAAGTGCTCAACTCCTAGCCTGCAGGCTAGATCAGGGCCTCAATACCGAGTTATCTGGCCCGTGAGCTGTGGCCATGTGTGCTAGGTCAGGCATGCAGGGCCTGATCCT